GGGGGGGGAGGGGCGAACGTAAGTGAATAGTGTTGAAGCGGTAAAGGGAAGAAGATGGAATCGCTTTACTCGTGTAGAAGCTCCTGGAGGCAGTTGGGCGACTTGAAGATGTCGGGCACCTCGCTGTCCAGCTTGCAGATCACTTTGTAGATGGCCTTCTTCCACGAAGGGTCCACGTCTTTGCCCGCCACGATGGCGTTGAAAAACTCCCGCAGCGTGATCTCTGCCACTTCCAGGAAGCGATCCGGGACCTGCGAAGTCATACAGATTGCCACAGATGCTCAATACGGGGTCTCCTCGGGCTGTGGCGATTCAAGATTTGGTGTTCGGATAGCCCGCTGAAAATTGAAGAATCGATTTTTTTGATCATGTCTTACGGGAAATTATCGTCTTTTCTTTTCTAGATTTATTAGAAAGTGAATATGGGACAAAAGTGACATAAGAACCACCGTGGCAATTTGTCCGGCTGAAACGGCACTTTTGATGGGGCACGTTAAATCGACGGATAGGCAGGAAAACGAAAAAGCGCCGTCAGTTCTGCTGTTGTGATTTGCCGTTGTAGAAATAAAATACAGCTCAAGTGAATTCAGTTCAATTCATTTTCTTGTCTCGGATCTCATTGGCTATTGTTTTTGGCAAGCGGCCTTGTCACTGCTGCTTTATCCGCACAATTACACCGATCCGATCTTAGCGTATGATAAAACCATAAATCTTCCATCCTGCCGACTCGACTTCCTTAAAAGCCAGTCGAAGCTTCCACCTGAGAACAGCTACTTCTTGCAAATGTTCTCACAACGCCCACGTCCCTCCGCAGCGTGACATCTTTATGTCTCGCTGTAAAAAAATAAATAAATAGAATAAAATACAACCTGTAGGTGGACTCACACTGTACTGAAGGAGAAGTACAGATACTTGTGTCAAAAAAGACTCTCGTAAAAGATCTGATTCAACGTTTGACTCTGAATGTCTTCATTACAAACACACGTTTCTTGTATTAACTTAGCACCACACTTTTTTTTTTTTTTCCCCTCGTACTTTTGAATATTTGCCGTCATCCAGGTCATTGTATTCTTCTCGGGCTCTTGAATAAATCGCAAGTGAGCCGTTCTGGAATTCTTGTAAGATCCTTCGCCTCTTGACATTTCAACATAACGTTATGTCTCACTTTCGAACCCGTTACCGGCGTCACTGTTTATGTCTCTCTCTCTCAAAAAAAAAAAAAAAAAAAAAAACACACACACAACCCGTGACCAAAAAAAGACAAGAGGCGCAAGTGTCACAGAGGTGCCGGCGAAAGAGGAAGTACGAAATGCTTTCGGAACCGGGAGACACGGCCGGGGCCCTTTAGCGGTCCCTGACAGCGGCGCTCAGCCACACCACGCCTGGCAAGGCTCCGCGACACCTTCCTGCCAGCCAACACGCTGTCACATGCGCCCGCACAAGCGCACACACCTCCTTGTGCCAAGGAGATGACACATCCTGTACGGCGATAGAGGCGACATATTGCACGCTCATACGCCCGCCCGGCCGCGGTTTGGCTCCGTCTCCTTCCTCCTGACCGGAGCGTCAGGGCGACGCAGCCTTCAGGGGTCACCTGCTCGGATAATGCTGACTGTCTCCCCGGCCCACCTCGCTTAGCGCATACACAGGCACACACACACACACAAGCCGCGGTCGGATGTGTAAAAGTACAAGTACTTCATTATCATTATAGTCAACAATTGTACCTTTAGCTGTGTCGGTAGCTTAAAATGACAAGAGCACATGAAACTGAAGAAAAAAAATTCTCTCTCTCTAATGTGGAAATACAAACAGATAAGGTTCGTTTTCAGTCATCATTAGCTGAAAAACATTTTTTTTGGGGCGGGGGGGGATTTCTCGGTTTACTTTAAGTAGGGGAACGCGTTTTCGTACTGTAACATGAATGCTGTTAGCTAGCTTAATAGCATGCTACCAGCAACTTCATTTTTGTTCCTGGCCCACCTGGCTTAGCGCATACACACGCACACACACACAAGCCGCGGTAGGATGTGTCAAAGTACAACTACTTCATTATCATTATAGTCAACAATTGTACCTTTAGCTGTGTCGGTAGCTTAAAATGACAAGAGCACATGAAACTGAAGAAAAAAAATTCTCTCTCTCTAATGTGGAAATACAAACAGATAAGGTTCGTTTTCAGTCATCATTAGCTGAAAAGCATTTTTTGGGGGGCGGGGGGGATTTCTCGGTTTTACTTTAAGTAGGGGAACACGTTTTCATACTGTAACTTGAATGCTGTTAGCTAGCTTAATAGCATGTTACAAGCAACTTCATTTTTGTTCTCGGTATGAGAACTATGCTAGTCACTAACGTATTTTATGTTAAAATGGGTTTATAAAATTGCTATAATTGACAGTAGAAATTCATTTTTCCTTTTGTGGTGAAGTACATTTCACTTTTTTTGTAATTTAACTTCGACACCTGTGTTGAATCCGTGCTAATTTTACCGTTTTTTTTTTTTTGTTTTTTTTTTTTTTTAAACACAAGTATCTGTACTTTGACTTAAGCGCAGAATGTGACTACTTTTGCCACCTCTGCACTCAATACAGCAGAATACGTTACAGTGCCCCCCTGCTCCTCCAGTGTCCTGCAGATACTCATCAGGAGTGTCAGGACACAGCAAGGTTAGCGGCCATAGGAACACACACACACGCGCGCGCACACACACACACACACACCCACTCACACGCTGAAGCAGTCATGCCTTTTCGCACATCACACACATGGGACGACAATCTGCTCCCCGCGCCCCCCCTCCATGTGATGAATGGAGGCTACGAAGCCCGTTAGCCCGTGCCTGTGTACAATGTGTACGCATCAGTGTGAAAGGTGAGTTGTGAATAAGAAGTCCTCCCTGCCCCTCCCCCTGTATAAAAATCCCACTATAACAGTTTGTTTTGGTGGCGTTGGGTGACGACGACCCTGCGCCCAGGAGTGCCGCATTACTAAGAATATTGCCGCATGGAATTTCTCCTGACGTTTTGACTATAAAAGGACAGTAAAACGCTGACTACAAGGAGAATGCAATGTCAAGGAGAAAAGGGTATTGGTATTTTAGATCCTCTTGACGAAGGGAGGTGTCGGCGTGGGGGTCGGTAGTAGCGATGGCGAGGGACGGAGGGGCTGCGAAGAGTCTGAGGACAGAGGGACCGATGTGACAAAACAATTATTCTTGTCCAATGGTTTATTATTTTTTTTTGTGTGTGTGATGTGGGCAAGCTTTAACAGTGTTATGGCACCAATCATCGATCACTCAAAGTATGTCTACTGCAAGGGTCACCGACCTTTTTGAAACTGAGAGCTATTTCTTGGCTACTGATTAATGAGAAGGGCCGCCGGTTTGATCCTGTCATGATCCTGTCCCGTTTTGTTTCCCAGTGTCTGTCAGGGGTGGAGGGCGTTCCCTCATGAGCACAACCTGACACTAATCGGGCCTTGTTATGAGCTGCCTATCTATACTCTGCTTCATAGACAACTGACTGTCGGATTATTAGCCTTGCTCACGACAGTGTCCAAGTGCTTGCTTTTTTTTTTTTTTTTTTTAGATGTTCCTCGCTATTTTTGCCTCGTAGCTTTTGCCTCGTTTGTTCATATTTTGGTTCTCGTAAATATTCCTTGTTGTGTATTCTTGCTTTGTGTTCATCGCGTATTGGATTGTCTTGTCCGTTTAGTTGACAAGCAATTTACGTTTTCTCACAATAATCATCAACAAGAAAAGTATAACGAATCCAATCTTCCTAGTCTTTATTAATACCAATTCTAAAAAATTTCGGTTCTTCACAACGTGAACAAAATTGATGACCCGGTCTTCTTTCTCATCTCTCTGCCCTTTAAATACTCCTGATCTTATCTAGTTGAATGTTCAAAATGGCCAGCAAGTGTCAACAGACTTCACAATGCGGTCCAATTCGAAAATCAAAAATTCAAACAAAATCTTTGTAAGGGAGTCATGGGCCTCCGGACGTCGAGTCTTAACTGTTTGTTTGCAACCCTCGTCATGCAGCCCCCTCTTCCCCTTTCCCCTTCATCACTCTCTCTTGGGTCAGCTGTTGGGCTTTTGTTCCAGAGGCATTGTGGGGGATTATCCGGTGTGGCCGCTTCATTCGCTCTGCTGTCCGCTAAATGGGGCCAATCGCGTGGCACACAATCCTTCATACATATTTCATAGGGCTTTTTAACAAGTTCTCAGCAGAGCCCAAAATTAAAGGACAGATGCACAAAGCGGGAAGGAGACGAAAAGGCAAACAAGGTAACTGAGAGTACAAAGTCTTTTCTTTTTCTTGTCCTTATGTTGCCTTCAAATAAAAATCGAACCGGCAATGCATATAAGAGAGTATTTTAGTTACACTACAGCGCTGTCCCGCGGGGACCTTCAGGGTCCTTTCGTCGGATCGAAAACTTTATCTTATCAGGTTACAGAACCGAAGAAACATGCACGTTTGCAGGTACACTGCCAAATGGAGTACCGGAACAGAAATACATTGCCCCCCCCCCCCACCCCTCATGGTACAACCTCCATGAATTGTCGGACCCCTGGGTCAATTGTTTGTTCTCTCGAACCAAAACGGGATTCCCGTACTGTATCATTCTGTCAAGAGTTTAAAAGCGGTACATTAGCGGTCCGCCACCCCACTGACAAGCTGTTGTAGCCACAAAATGCAATAAAGTCCGTTTTTTTGGCGACAATCTGAATGAAGCTGTCCGTTTCTGTCTGAGGCCTGTGCCTTATAGTCTGCAGTTTCTTTGGCTAGAAAGAACACAGAAAGACCAAAATAATCAATTGCCAAGTTTAGTTCATATTGTATGCCCCTGTCCACAAGTCCACAGAAGCAGTCCCCTTTTAAATTCAGTACCACCCAATTCTAGACCAAGTCTGAAAAGACGTTTAAGAACGTCTTTGGGAGTGAATGAGTTAAGGGAACCACCCCAAACTTAAGCACTAAGACTAACCAACTGATGCCGTCCACCGTAATCCATGGCCAGAGCATGTTGTCCGTAGTCCCTTTTGATCAATTGCCAGGTCCAGCTATGGTTGTAGGCCACACCGTAACAATACGACTCGAGAGGATCTTTGTAGCTGGACCTTGTTGGGTAAATACCAATCAAGGGAAAAGAATGGCGGGCAAGATAGATGAAAGGAAAAAGAGGGGTCTTCTCCGACCAGGCAGTTAATCACTCTCATTCACCGGCTCTTTCCCCCCCTCTACCT